TCCTAGCGGCGATAGTGACTGAGCTAGAGTCCAAAACGTGAACAGTGGGCATTAAATCTTTAACCCGCCGTAGCTGCCAGGGTTGCCAGATGTAGGCGATGAAAACAGTCAAATGTGATTTCGGGATGCGCCCTCCATCGTCGGATACCAATTTTCATGTTCTAAAATTGTTCCTTTGACATTTATAGTTTTTGGGGTAAATCTCAAAAACTACCCTAAAATCGGGTATTTTTTTTCCACCACATTAAAGAGTCTATAGAGATACACAATAGCTCCATATACGCCAAATACCTGCGGGATTGCCAAGTCGGTCAAAATCGAGGTTGAATTTCAAACGTCGTTTGCTCTCAGTGTTACCAGTCGATTGTTCTATTTTTTCCATCGGGTATCTTGAAAAGTTAAAATTAAAATATTTGCATCAAAAAAGTTCAAAAATTCGACAAAAAGTGTTTCCTCAAAAATCTCATAAAGTATAAAAAATTTTCAAGTTTTTTTTTAGCCTGGCAACACTTTAGCTACTTGCCTAAAAAATGTTTCCCCGGAAGTCCTCTGACAAATGTCGGCGAGTGCGTCAAAATCGGCTCGTTATGGTGACGATACCCAATTTTCCGGATAAAACGGCCGCTGATTCGGCCGCCATCTTGAATTTTGAAAATCCGGCTCCGTACCGGTGTGGCCAACTCGATAGCGCATCCGATGCAGTTTATACCATTTTCCTAGTGGCAATACTGACTGCGCTAAAGTCGACAAAGTAAAAAATGGGCAAAATTTTTCAAATCGTCGCAACCACCAGGGTTGCCAGGTGATGACGATGAAAATGGTCAAATGTCATTTCGGGGAGTACCCTCTGTCGAGGAAATGCATTTTTGAAATCCCGAAACGGCTCCTTCTACTTTTCACCTTTTTGGGGTAAATCTCCGAAATTACCCTGAAATCGGGGAAAATTTTCACCTCATAGGAAAGAGCCGGCAGATACTAATGACCGGTCCATAAAAGGTGAAGAGCTCCGATGTTGCCATGTGAGCTAAAAGTGCGTTTGAATTTTTCGAAAAAGTGAAAAAATCACAAAATGGTCGCTGCCGCCGCCGCCATATTGATTTTTCCGAGTTTCATAATTTTCCCATAGTCACGACTATATTTGGCGTGACACCTTATTCACAGATTTTCTCCGCTGGCCACCCAGGTTCCCAAACAATTCGGGTTATGAGGGCATGTCGAAAAAAATGTTTTCTACCGTGGAGCCCAGGGTTGTCAGCTCGTGGAAACGAAAACTACCAAAAGTCAAAGGGCTCCCCCGGCGCCATACCGCATCGAGTCTGTTTTCCGCGAAAAGTGCGTATTTCAAAATTTCACTTTTCTCCCAAAATCTCCTAAACTACCACGAAAATGGTAGAAATTATTACCAACTTAAAAAGTTAGCAGCGAGCCCCACGACCGCCCCATACGACGCGAACCCGTCCGACGCCGCCATCTTGCAGAAAATCTCACTGGAAAATGGCGATTTTTCATTGCCGAAACAAAATGGCCGCCACCGCCGCCGCCATGTTGAAGCGCAAATGAAAACTCCCCATACGTGAAAATCGACTATACTTCCGAGTCGCCAGCGTAAAAATCCCCCCTCCGAACCCACCACAAAAGAAACGACATCCGCCCGAACAGAGGTCGAAAAATGACAATTTTCTAGGTAAAATATCTCGGCCGCCATTTTGTTTTTTTAATCAAACCTTTTTTCAGTGTCATTTTTTTAGCCAAATCTACGACCATTTTGAATATCGTAATCGTAGAGTGTATACTTTAGAAATTAAAAAAATTATCTCGCCGCCATTTTGTTTTTTGGCTGCATAGGAATACCATTTCAACTCATTAAAAAAATATATTGTCAGTCTCCATACATGAAAATGTCATTTTCCCCCTCCTTCTACCCGAAAAATGCATGGAGTGAGTCAGTGAGTCAGTGAGTGGTAATTAAGCTTTTTCTTTTTTTTAACATGTTGGGTTTACAGTTTGAAATTGCTTACAAAACGTTAGTAAGTTATATCTTCAAATGAAAGGTGCTTAAGCACTATACATCAAATAAAAAGGTTGCCAGTTTACGCTTAATAGAAAAAGAAATATTCAGTCGAAAAACGCAAGAAAACCTTAAAATAAATATTGTATAGATCGGCTTGTAGTCTTTTATTCTCTTATTCTTATTCAATAGTAAGTTAATATTTAGTTAATACAGACATTGGGGTTTTAAGTCCGCCTCTTGTTATGTTGGGTTTACAGTCTAAAATTGCCTAGTATAAATTAGTAAGTTCTATCTTCAAATGAAAGTTGTTTAAGTATACAAAGCACCATACACTCAATAGAAAAACAGTTGCCCATATACACTCAATAGAAAATGAAATATTCAGTCGAAAAACGCTAGATAGGCTTGTAGTATTTTACCCTCTTATTCTTATTTAATACTAAATTAATATTTAGTATTAACAACAACAGTCGAACATATATTTCCGCAAGTGTTACTATTATTGATCATTATTTATTGTTTTTGCATATACATATATTTAAAAACTTGGAAATAATACTAAACTTTGAGAAAAGGTGGTTACGATTATAGAAACTTTTACACAGAAATTAAGTTACAATATTAAATAAGTTTGAATAAAAAAGGACATAATTTCTCATTAGTCTAAAAGTATAGAAAAGTGTACTTTAAAAAAGTAATTATCGTGTCAAAAATTGGAAAAATTGGGAAATGAAATGATCCATATACACGCTATAAAGCTCCCGAATTGTCAAGTGAATCAAAATAAAATCTGAAATTAAAATGGCCATAGCGTGGGCTGGATTATTCATAGTCAGCATTACACGATCATCTTTTAAACATTATAAATCAAATGTTCACCATCCACCATACCATCAACGAAAGCGATTCGTTTCTGGCACTTCGGCGGCCGCTGCCGCGGCACGCTCGCTACGCTCGCTCGGCTCGTGCGTTGTTTTTCATACACTAACCTAACCTAACCCATATGACATAATAAACCTATACAAGTTTAGGTCCGCCTCTTGTTATGTTTACAGTTTGAAATTGCCTAGAAAAAGTTAGTAAGTTCTATCTTCAAATGAATTATGTTTAAGTACACAAAGTATATACACAAAGTACCATACGTCAAAGAAAAAGGGTCTCCATACATTATGGCTCGTTTCGCTCGCATTTTATTTAAGTCACAGTTCTTAACTTACCAATTAAACAAATCTCTCTTAATAGTCACTCTTTATGGCTCGCTTCGCTCGCTTTTTTTTTCATTCACAGTTCTAATTTAACTGATTGATCAGGTCTCTTTTAATAGTCTCGCATTATGGCTCGCTTCGCTCGCTCTTTATTTTGGTCACAGTTCCTTAACCAATTGACCAGGTCTCTATTTATTATGGCTCGCTTCGCTCGCTTTTTGTTTTATTGACAGTTCTAATCTAACTGATTGATCAGGCCTCTATTGATGGTGTTCTTTATGGCTCGCTTCGCTCGCATTTTATTTTAGTCACAGTTTAACCAAATCTATCTTAATGGTAACTCTTTATGGCTCGCTTCGCTCGCATTTTATTTATGTAACCTTACCAATTAATAAAATCTCTCTAAATGGTCACTCTTTATGGCTCGCTTCGCTCGCTTTTTGTTTTATTCACAGTGCTAATCTAACTGATTGATCAGGTCTCTGTTAATGGTCTCGCATTATGGCTCGCTTCGCTCGCT